ATTTATTTTAAACAATATTTTGTGAGGGTGATCTATCCAGCCTGAGCTGATCAATTGGGACTCTCAGTACATACAACTAGAACATAAGTATAAAAATTAAACTTGATCTTTAATATAAACAAATTAATAAAATTAAACCAGAATATGAATTCCCATTGGATGTAAAAAAAAAATCACCATCAAAACACTAATTTCAATATGAATGGTGGCATTCTAATTTATAATCGAGATGATGTGTCTTTTAAAATTTGGAAGGACCTTGAGGAAGAATCTTGTGAGAGCATCTGGATAACTCTTCGCCCAAAACGACTACCACGTTCAATCGCTAATATTACTGTTGGCCTTGTGTACCACCCCCCGGGAGCCTATGACTGGGAAATGTCTTGTCACATTATTCGCTGTTTGGACTACGTCAGCAGTATCCACCATAATACCGGTTTTGTTGTGTTGGGTGATTTTAACCATATGAAGGACCATCAGTTGATCAAATTCCCGCTCAAGCAAGTAGTTAAAGTGCCGACTAGGAAAGAGGCAGTTCTTGATTTGATTTACACCTCGTTGGATAGTATGTACAGTGCTCCTGTTGATAGTCCACCTTTGAACCGTTCAGATCATAATGTGATTATATGGAACCCTAACTTTTGTATGCCCAAAATATCTGGTTTTAGCGTCACCAAACGTAAACGATTGGTGAACAGAATTTCTAAAGAACTTTTCGCGTGTGATCTACATAATATACGTTGGCAGGACCTATACCGTTTGAATGACTGTGCAAGTCAGTTCAAGTTTTATAGTGATCAAGTGATGATTTTAATTGATAGACATTTCCCTATTGTTACTGTTAAGAAAGACAGCCGAGACAAACCATGGGTTAATAATGTGTTTAAGAAGGCTATACGCGAGCAGAGACCGCTATTCTGAGCAGTACAAGCGTCTCCGTAACAAAGTAAACCGCCTTGCTGTATCTCTTAGGAGAAAATTCTATAAGAACAATTTAGAACACTTATTCAAATTACATTCTCGTTCATGGTGGGAGGGAGTAAATCAGTTTATAAACTTAGGGAGGGAGAATAATAACTTTGTTAAGGTTTTGGCCAATGAAGTCTGTGGTGGCGACGTTGTTTTGCTTGCCAACAATATCAATATGTTTTTTCAATCACTCACCTCGGGTTTCATTGCTCTTAAGCCTTCTGAAAACCAGG